ATAAATAGGGTAATAAATAGCACATCATGTCCCTTGATATAACCTGTTGACTTTCAAGTCCAATGAGATAACTGTTTTATGGCTGAGACGTCTGCTATCTTTGAGGTGTCAGGAATTTTTTTTTTTTTTTTACTTTAGGACACATTTTATTGGTTTCTGAGAAAGACTGCTCTGAATTATCACTGAAAGATAACAAGGTGAACTCATTAGAAGGTAAAATAAAAGGTATGTGTATAAAAATAAGAGCATAAAACACAGGTATTTTTTAATCATTCTTGCAGACATGTCTGTGTTGGCACAGACAGGTGTCCCCGATCGTCTGCTAAATCTTAGAGAATGCACCTGTTATTGAAGATACAATGTCAACATTCAGTGCTAGGGGGCTTGTAGACCTTTCTACGGGAACCTCACCTCTGTTAGCAATATACGTACAAAGAGATATTATACAGTAGAACCCATTTTTACCAGGTTCTTGTCTCCAGTGCTACCTTGGGTCACTCTGAGTTTTGCCAGGCACTGCATTTGGCTCATAGTTAGACCCTGTTATGATATTCCCTACAACTGGACTCATAACCACACTGTTGACCCTTACAGTTTATATATTTACTTCTACATCTATATAATAAAATAATAATCACAATTACTGTTATTATTAAAATCTATAAAGTGCCAACAAATTCTGCAGTGATATACAACATTATATCATACAGCAGATATTGTTGTAATAGCTACACTATATCTTGAAAGCACTGGGACGTTTCTTCTAAGTCCATGCGTACTTATATACGTGTTGTTTTTCTTTCCAAATAGTTTTTATTGAATTTTGCAAACAAATTATTTAGGGAAAACCAACAATGGTAAGGGGCACAAAAGAGAAAAAAATATATGAGAACACAGCGCTTTTCTTATGTGTACATTTGCACTTGCAGTACACATGCTGAGTTGTATGGCCAACTGCCCCTGCCTGGGAGTGTTCCGAGGCATTGGGTTTAGAAGATACACAAACAGGGTTGACCTGACTTTGATCTACATCTCTGGTGAGACCAGAGAGGAGGTCTTTTCTTTGCTCATCTGCTTTAATTTTTACAATATAGTAAATACTTATTATACATTCTTATTAAACTTGTAGCCAAGGAAAGAGGACAGTGCAATGCTCCAGATTACAAATACAGGAAACTTTGCAGTATTTTTGTAGAAATTTGTTATCGTGTATGACCAAAAGTTAAAAATAGAATTAACATTTTGTGACTGTTAGATAATCAGCATATCTCTAAGATTCAATATTGTTTATGTGTATCAGTTATGTCATCATAACTGGAACTCATGATTTTCTATTAAGTTTCTGAGTGTGGCATCTCATTGTCTGATCTGTGCTAAATGGCTTCTTTTTCTAGGTGTACAAATAAGGGGTTTCATTCTGGACCTGCAAACAGATTCACTACTCTTTAAGGGTGACCTATCCACTTTTTAGTTTTAACTGTCTCCTTTGAGGCCAGCCCAATTTGGTTTGAGGAATTCCTCAACCCTTTACCTAGATTCACTCTTTGCTACATATAATTCTTTAGTCTACATTGTTTTTCCAGTGTCAATATACTACTCATGTGAAATGTCATGTGAAAATTGGTCAACTTTTCACTCTAGACATACTCTTCAACAGCTGCATTCTTTTATAAAGAATCACACGATCGTCAATTAAGTTCTTCTCAATCCTATAATTGTCTTCTATTAGGAATCAGTTTGTATGGTTAACAGGGGAATAGATGGTCCAGTGGTGAGATAGGGGATGGAGGGGAATATTAAGAGGAGAGGAAAAATCTAATTCTCGTAGGATGCTTTTATAGACAATTTGAACTAGTTTCTATTTTAATAAGCATTATCACATACCGTGACTGACTGTCTGAAATCTAGATCAATTTATTCAATAGCAAAATTATTTGTTTTAATTTATCAGGATTATTTACGACAATGAGAATTGTCAGAAATTCAAATAAATTCTAAGTGAGTTTCAAATTTAAGGCCCAAAGTTGTCCAAGTCAGCTATATTTCCAGTTAGACTATTTTGGTCGAAAATTTGAAATTCACTTTAAATTCCCAACAATTCTCACTTTAGTAAAAGAAAAAAAAAACACAAGTACACTGCATCCTAACAACTGCTAGATTTGTGTTTTTTAGGCTGATCGGTGTAGGGGCTTTAACCCCTTAAGGACCAAACTTCTGGAATAAAAGGGAATCATGACATGTCACACATGTCATGTGTCCTTAAGGGGTTAAGTGTCGTGGACCTGGAACTGCTGTTGCATGATTTACACACAACCTCGCAAAGCGCTACCATCTGAGACTGAATTTGTTGAGAAAAGCTTCCAAGTAGTTGGCGATAGCACAAAGGCTACAAATAAATACTGTAAATAATTAAAGGTCATCAAATTGGATTCAAAACCATTTAATCCAGCAGAGGGAGTATCGGTCCTGTCACCAATTCGTATCCAAAGAGTTGTGCAGGGGAAATATTTTTGTAATTTATTAGACAATCCAGAGGTCATGTAGCATAGAACATATGGAAGGATACAGACACGGAACAGCAGCAGCACTCCTAAGCATGAAGGAACAAGATAGGCAACAATGGGTCCAAGGAGTACAGAAATACTCCTTGGCATAGGTTCAGATTCACAGGCATGGACTAACATGGGCAGACGCAGGTCAGTAATATGGATAAAATGCTGGGCCTCTGGATTCCATACACACAAATAACGGAGCAGTTCTTTTAAAGAGCTTTGGCTGCAGGCATGCGTGTGGTACAGGATTAAATCAAATCAGCATTACTGAAAAATTCCAGGTATTATTGTGTGACCCTTTCTTGTGCAGGTGGAGTATGTCAAAGCTTGCAGTCATGGTGGTCAAATAGTAGGGAACTCAAGAGCACTCTTGGAGGAGGGCACTGAGTTCAAACTCTGGGAGTTAGGAGATTCAGAGTTAAAGCGAGAGTTAGAATTAAAGTTAGGGATAAACCCTAAATCCAATGCTAACTGTAAACGTAATGTTAGTCTAACACCAACTATTACCCCTACTGTTATAATTCACCAAATTTAAGTCTATGTTTAATTTTAATCCTAACCTTAACCCTAAATGTACTAACACTTGGTGCTTAGCACACTTTGTATCCCTAAGCCTTGGTATATCTCTTACCTTACAATAGCTCATCAAGCAGTCTTTGTCAGATCGTAGATGCAAGTTCCCAAAGTACCAGGTAAGTACTGGTAACCACCCTGAACCCAATACCAACATAAATAGTTGTGCTTTCTATTGAGAAGGCAAGAACATGACGTAACATTGTATTCCATCCCTATGCAGACACATATCAGCTCTACATTTTTTTTATAGTTACTCGTGGATCATTGGAAGACAAAATTGCCAATGCAAGATACTTTACCGATACCATTAATTTAATATGGAACTAGGCATTATATACCAGAAAACAGGGCATGCTGTGCGATACAATGTGTTGTGTTTGATGGAATCTTGTAAACATATGTTTTATTCATTATGTATCTTCATATTGTCTGCCTGTGTACAAAGCATGTACACTGTGACCTATTACTGATCCAGTCACTTTGACTTGCTTGCCTGACCTTGTAGATGTCAGATTGCCTTTGGTGAGACACACGTTGAGATGTGAAAATTATCAACCCGAACAGCAAAAGAACACACTGCTTAGCCTGTCCAAAGAATTCATGTATTTATTAAACCAACCAAGCTTATTGTCACGGTGTTTGATTTTTCACTATTAAAATAACCTAGTTATATTTTATTCAGGGTTCTTTTTCAGTGGTACACAATGATAGTGAGTACAGGCAACTCCGTTAAAAATACTTACAGACGTACTAGCTCCCTCCAACTGAAGAATATTTTCTTTTTGAGGATGCTTAAGCAATATTTGATGGGTTCTGGTCTGGATAACAAAAAATGCATTTTCATTAGTTTAATTCATGTATAATTCATTGGTTTTATTTTATTAGGTTGAAATGAACTGAAAAGCAGAGATTATACCCACTCAAAGAAGTCAAGATATGGAGTTATGAATTCAAACAGTTTTTTATTGAATGATTTTGTGAAAGTGAAATTGGATTAGAATGAGATTACAGGTTGTTCACACAGATTTAAATCCAGGAAATTTTTGTCATAGAATATTTCTATGCTTGCTTTGATACGCTAATCATTGCGACTGACCATTATTTTTTTTTGCTGGTTAGCCATCTTTGGATACAGGGCACGATTGTCTCAGCCGGTCTCTGATGTTAAGTCTTCTCTTTATAAGCTACTTTATATACATTTAAAAATGTGTTAGTAAGCCGTTTGTAAAGGGTTCTAAACACGCAGTGAATGTCTCTTTGCTTCAAAGAAATCTATTTTGATTTTGAATGAATAGAATAGTTTTCCTTACGAAGAAAGAGTATTAAAATCCACACAAAAGCCAAGTGAACAACAGGCCAGCTTAAAGTCTTTCAAGATTTTCTTATGCAGTTACAGATCCTGCTCATTTTTAGATACATCACTTCATTTATGTTACTAGCAGCTGAAAACATTTGTGAGATTCTGAAATATTGAACACTTTTCTGGAATAACCTCATTGTCTTCTTCTAATCTGCTGCCAGCTATCAGAAGTTTTAGCCTATATACTGCACAAGGTTTTAGTTCGTGTTAACTCTGGGTGCAGTGGTCCTGTCATTTTAACCCTACCATGCAAAACATTGCAGTTTGCAGAAACTGCAATGTTTACATTGCTGCATTAAATACACCTCCAGCGGCTCTCTTCCTTACAGCAACTAGAGGCCCTTCCTCCTCCAGAACTGAGGGAAATATCAGCAGCATTCAATCGGAGGAGCGCTGTGTTTTTTTCCATGCATGTGCTCTCCAAGACGCATTGGATTGAATGATATCGTGAGCAATGTTAGTTTGGATTCTGCGAGAAGCATTGGATTGGATGATCTCGTGAGTAATGCCAGCTTGGATTCTACAAGAAGCACTGGATTGAATGATATCGTGAGTAATGTTAGCTTGGATTCTTTGAGAAGCGTTGGATTGAATGATATCGTGAGTAATGTTAGCTTGGATTCTGCGCAAAGCATTGGATTTGATGATATCATGAGTAATGTCAGCTTGGCTTCTACGAGAAGCATTGGATTGAATGATATCGTGAGTAATGTTAGCTTGGATTCTGCAAGAAGCATTGGATTGGATGATATCGAGAGTAATGTTAGCTTGGATTCTGTGCAAAGCATTGGATTGGTTGATATGAGTAATGTCAGCTTGGATTCTGCAGGAAGCATTGGATTGGATGATATCGAGAGTAATGTTAGCTTGGATTCTGCTAGAAGCATTGGATTGAATGATATCTTGAGTAATGTTAGCTTGGATTCTGTGAGAAGCATTGGATTGGATGATATCATGAGTAATGTTAGCTTGGATTCTACAAGAAGCATTGGATTGAATGATATCATGAGTAATGTTAGCTTGGACTCTACGAGAGGCATTTGATTGGATGATATCATGAGTAATGTTAGCTTGGATTCTACAAGAAGCATTAGATTGAATGATATCATGAGTAATGTTAGCTTGGACTCTACGAGAGGCATTTGATTGGATGATATCATGAGTAATGTTAGCTTTGATTCTACGAGAAGCATTGGATTGAATGATATCATGAGTAATGTTAGCTTGGACTCTACAAGAGGCATTGGATTGGATGATATCGTGAGTAATGTTAGCTTGGACTCTATGAGAGGCATTGGATTGGATGATATTGTGAGTAACGTTAGCATGGATTCTACGAGAAGCATTAGATTGAATGATATCATGAGTAATGTTAGCTTGGACTCTACAAAAGGCATTGGATTGGATGATATCATGAGTAATGTTAGCTTGGATTCTGCAAGAAGCATTGGATTGGATGATATTGTGAGTAATGTTAGCTTGGACTTTACGAGAGGCATTGGATTGGATGATATTGTGAGGAATGTCAGCTTGGATGCTGACAATGATGGAGGTGGAGTTGGAGGCTGCAGTGCAGGATTGTCAATACTGGAAACAAGGTTATATTTAACTTAGCTTTCACTTAGCAAAGGAAGTGGACAGTAATCACATTACGTGGGAACCTACAGTCCCAAAATAATGATTAGCAGCATTTTTTTTTGGAACATGTGCACCCATTGCATAATATTTGATGTTTCCCATCTTGATTAAGTTTCATGGAAAGTGGGAAAAAAAACAACACATGACGTCAGAATGAAGTATCCGGGATATGTGAGTCTAAGGAGGGGAATAGAAGAAATTACACACTCCAAGCCTAACCCACTGATGGTTGAATGAAAAAAAAGTATATAATACAGCACAAGTGCATCTCTTTGATAGTGCATGTGGTTTTATGTACATTTTATGCATGATCAAGAGCTTGGTACGTTTTCAGAAGAGCCTAAACAGACCTCATAGAATGTCTAGCTTATCAGGACCTAAATTTGGCCTTAATTAAGTTTCCGTTAATGGGGTAGGTGGAGATCTCAACATAACAACCACTAGATTAAATTAGTAAGCATTATCAAATCAAGGTGTCCATTTTCACTGATACCCTAAGGATAGTGACCAATAATCGGAGAGGTTAGAGGTTGGATCATACAATTTGTTGTTGACCAATTACAGCATTACTTTAACGATTTATAATTTAATTCTACAAATTCCAGAATAGAATGTTACTGGAACTTGGAAATGACACTATGATGATTATATAGTAAGCTAACATTTAAACTGTTCCTTCAAACTTATTTCAGTTTTTCACAAGCTCAGTGATAAGAGGTGATAAATAAAGTTGCTTATGGCTCCTAAACACGCAACTCCTTAAGTAGCTTATAACTGTAATAAAGTAATGAGGAGGTATTTACCCATGATGCATTAGTGTACATTCCTGTATATGTGTAATGCCACACCTGGTCTGTGTTTAAGTCTTGTGAAACATCAATTATCCCTGCAATATCTCCATAGGAAATGATTAGCAAAAGGTGTGCCTTCTGGAACATAAAGTGTCTGTGAATTATGGTTTATTGGCTCTGAAATCATACTGTTGACATTGTCTTATCAGCTGATAAAATTCTGAGCAGGGTATATTTTTACACTATGGCCTCTGTAAGATTGGAAGGCCGGAGAAAAGCGTTATTTTTTTTCTTCTAATCTATCATTTTTCAAATTGCTGATTCATTGCGGCTTTGTGATTTAAAGATACGTGAGCCACATGGACTGGAATCCATCATGTTTCAACACCTTCTTTTTGGCACTGTTTATTGAAGATTTATGAATAAAGCCAAAGAATTAATGAAGAATGTGTAAGGCATAGTACATGACTGCACCTTCATAGTAAACTGTTTCAGAAGGGGGAATTGTTTGCAGCCCACGCACTTAAGGAATGTAAACTCTGTAAGTAAGCAAACTGATACAGGAGAGTGTGCCTTTGATAGGCCAATTGTGATTATGTATGTAAATATTCTATACTATTATATGGCGTTATTTACAGTTATATTCCTATAATATACAGTTTGTTTAACAGGTCATATGAAAAGAAAGAAAAATATTATTAGTGTAGTTAGTATTCTTCTGAAAATACTGCATGGAAAGAACCAGAATTGGTATATGTCTACTGTAGTTTAATGTATAGGTGTGTGTATTTGTGTGTGTGTGTTTGTGTGGGTGAGTTGAGGGAAGGGGGGGGGGGTTAGAAATCTAGAACTGGAGGCTTTGGGGTCAAATTAAATAAGGCAGACAGCATGTTGAAAGTTCCCTAGCTTGCAATCCGACACCAAATTGTTCTACTAAAAGAGCTTTTGGACCTGGACAGCGAATGGGGTCTAGACTTGTTAAATGTGGGCACATCTTTTAGGTTCATCTTAATTAATTAATACATAGGGATTAAGGAGAGAGCGCAGGTAACTTGTTTTTCTTTAGTTTTTACTATGTATTGGGGCTGATGTGTACTGTAGTCGTTGCTGCCACCCAGGAGTGGGTGTGAGTGAGCATAGGACTTATCTTTCTGTATTTGTATTAACTTACCAGGAAAGGTTGAAGGATCTTAACATGTATAGCTTGGAGGAAAGACGAGACAGGGGGATATGATAGAAACATTTAAATATATAAAGGGAATCAACACAGTAAAGGATGAGACTATATTTAAAAGAAGAATAACTACCACAACAAGAGGACAGTCTTAAATTAGAGGGACAAAGGTTTAAAAATAATAGCAGGAAGTATTACTTTACTGAGAGGATAGTGGATGCATGGAATAGCCTTCCAGCTGAAGTGGTAGAGGTTAACACAGTAAAGGAGTTTAAGCATGCGTGGGATAGGCATAAGGCTATCCTAACTATAAGATAAGGCCAGGGACTAATGAAAGTATTTAGAAAATTGGGCAGACTAGATCGGCCGAATGGTTCTTATCTGTCGTCACATTCTATGTTTCTATGTTTTTGTATCACACAGCTTTGTTACAATGCTGCCGCCCATCCCATGTGTTCCCTATTAAGAATTAATAAATATATAGGGGTGTATATAAAAGTTACCCCTCTCTGTCTCATTGGAGAAATCTTTGCCAGAAGCTCACGGAAGCAAGGTGAAGGGTCAGTGTAGGACCCACCTAAGAGGCCTGCTTTGACGTGGCAGGTGGGCATACCCTCTCATGGCCATTGGAGGTAACTAAAAACCTCCATTTGTTTAAAAATACATAGGGATTAAGGAGAGAGCGCAGGTACGTTGTTTTTCTTTGGTTTTTACTATATATTGGGGCTGATGTGTACTGTAGTCGTTGCTGCCTCCCAGGAGTGATGGGAGTGAGCGCAGGACTTATCTTTCTGTATTATCATCTTAATTAATGCAGAAGAGTGATTAAAAGTATTTTGCTCAAGAGTTTGAGAGCCTGTTCTGATCTCAGTAAAGAACAAGCAAAATCTGGTGTTCACGCCTGTCTTGAATTATTCGTTGAAACATCTATGTAGATTGTCTAGAGGACTCCAAAGTCAAACACTGAACTCACAAACTAAGTACAAAGCTAAAGTACAATCCTGAGTAAACCAAGGGCAGACACCTAGACTTATACAAGAGAATAATCCGGATCTATTTGTTTTCTGTTTATCTGCCCATCCATTCTTCTACCCACCCACCCACCCATCCATCCATGCTTCCCATGATATTATCTTCTTTTATTTTTTCTTTATGTTTTATATCCCTTACTATGCTCATCCACGTTTCAACTCTTTTCTGAGCTTTCCCTTTCAATGGGCTCTGCTCAGCCACATACCCATCCATTGCAACATTAACAATACTAATCTACATATTCCTAATGTAACATCTCTTGTGCGACTTCCCATACCCCTGTCACTCAGGGGAGACACCGCACCAAATCCCCCATACGTGCATGAAGGTGATATGGGGCGACAAACATCCTCTATATTGCTTTGGTTGCAAATTTTAAAAATATATATTTTTTATTGGTTTTAAAATGTTCTTTAACTTAGTAACACTATGAAAATTCCTCATTAATGAAATAACTGTGATTTCTTTAGATTTTTTTTCTTCTTTTTGTCTTTCTTTCAAAAGATTCTAGTGCATTTATTATATAAAATATTAATCTGAAATAATACAAAGGTGACCTCCGGTATTATTATTTTTTTTCATTGTTAATTGCAGAAACCATTGTGAAAAGATTGACAAGGTTTCCTTTCCTGTATAATTTCACTTAAGGAAATATTGAATTGTCCTTGAAATATGTTTAATGTACCATTAATGAAAACAAGTCAATACAAAGCGTGTTTTACTATGCTCTATACTACATTAAGAGTCAGGTTTAGTAAATGCATAGACAGAAGTTAGAGAACTCTTGGGAATAGTCTTGTTCTTCAGCTATGTAATTTAGACATAAATGTCAAGATTGGGGGTAAAATCTGTTGTTTTTTGCTGTGTCCACCGATGAACATCTATCTAAAGTTCTTTTTTGGTCTCCTACAATTCCTTTATATGTGTAACCAACAAAAAAATTCCATTCATAGGACAAAATTCAGCGCTCTATAGAAAGCTATTTTTAGTTCACCTATGTCAGACAGGGGATTGCAGGGCCTGGGGAGGAAACCAAAATCGCAATTGGCCTGGATAATTCACAACACAGTGCATATTCCATATGTTATGGTGCATTAATAATGGGGTTGTAAGGACATTTAGACCAAGGGTAAATACATGATTATATACTAAAGTCTGAGCTGTAGGAAATTGAATGTCATGTTATAGGCCGCAGTAGCCGATTTTGTAAAAATGTTCTTAGTTTGGCTTATTTGGTCAAAAAATTTGAAAATCACTGTGAAATAACTTTTAATTCTGGACAATTCACTTTACAGTAAATAACAATGTGTGTCTTCTTTATTACAGATCCCAATTCACAACGGACTCACACATGGTTTACATGGTAAAAGTACCCAGGTGAGATGGAAATGCTGAGTGTATTTACACCA